CCCAAAAGGCCCGCCAGACGGCCCAAGAGGGCCCCAAGATGGCCCAAGAAGCCGCCAAGACGGTCCCAATATCAAGATGGCTCCATAGACCTCCAAGACGGCCAAAAGCCCTCAATGGGGAACACACGATTGCCCAGAAGATGCCCCAAGGTGCCTCCGAAGGCCAAGAGGTCCCCTAGAGGCCCCCAGAAGCCCCGAAGAGGCCTCCTCGAGGCCCCAGGCTCCCAGAAGCCCCCAGGAGGCCCCAAGAGGGCCTCAAGAAACCTCATATTCTTCTTCTTCTTCTTCCTCCTCCTCCTCCTCCTCCTCCTCCTCCTCCGTCTCCTCCTCCTCCTCCTCCTCCTCCTCCTCCTTCTTCCTCTCCCAAGTGTTCTCCCGAGGGGCTCCACAACGGCTCTGGGAGCACTCCATTCAACAATGTGGCTGGGCTTCGGCCCAACGTTTGGTCGCGTGGGCGTTTCCAAAGACAGGGGGGGTGGCAATGATTCGCCGTAGGCATCTTCGATATACGGGGCATGGGCCATGGGTGTGGTCCCTTGAATGCTGGCTTTTCCCACTCACCGACAAGAAACATAGCTAAACACGCGTAGCAGTAGCAGAACACGGAATCTAGAGAGAGGCCGTTGCAATCATGGCGTTCAGCATCAGGGAGGAGCTCGATACGAGGACAACTACTTAAGCGTCAGATTCTGCCTCACCTAGCAAGCGGATGGACCTAAGAATGGAAGAGGAAAGGAAACATGGATGAGGAGGACAAGCGGAGGAAAGGAATAGGGACAGAAACTGGGACGAGAGGAAGATGCACGGAGGCGGAGGAGGAGGTGAAGGAGGCGCACGAGGACGGCGAGTAGGTGTCATATATTCCTGCTCCTCTTCCTTCTCCTTCTCCTCCTCCTCCTCCTCCTCCTCCTCCTCCTCCTTATGTTTCGCCTCCTCCTCCTCGCTTCTTATCACTCTCATCCTCTGCTCCCCCGGGCTCCTCCTCTTTCTCCTCCTCCTCTTTCTCCTCCTCCTCCTCCTGCTCCTCCTCTTCCTCCTCTCTCCTCCTCCTTCTCTCCTCTCCTCCTCCTCCTCCTCCTCCTCCTCCTCCTCCCCCTGCTCCTCCTCCTCCTCCTCCTCCTCCTCCTCCTCCTCCTCCTTCTTATCCTCCTCCTCCTCCTCCTCCTCCTCCTTCTATCCTCCTCCTCCTCCTCCTCCTCCTCCTCCTCCTCCTCCTCCTCGGCCTCCTATCTCATCTCCTCCTCGCCGTCCCCCCTTCTCCTTCTCTTCCTGTCGAGTCTGGTGTGTACGCGGCATTGGCCATGACTGTGGGTGGGGTGGGCCCTTGAAGGCTGGCCCGACAGGGGGCATAAGTCACCGTAGGGATCCACCACACGCGCAACAGTAGCAGCCCGCATAATCAAACGTGCGGACTTTGCAATCGTGGCGTTCAGCATCGGGGAGAAACTCAAAACGCTGACAACTGCTCTGCATGTCATGATAAAAGGAGGGTGCTCCGATTTGCAGGGGGTTCTGCGTGGAGCTGCCTTGGAGGTTCTGGGGGGGGGTCCTGACACAAGGCCACCCCTGCATGGTTGGTCTGGGGAGTTGTCTAAAATTGCTCGTCTGGAATTAGGTCGGGCGTGTCCCCGTACAGGCGGATTTGGGAGGAAAAATCAAAACATAGTCAACAGATCATCAACAAACATCAGACAATATAAGCAATTTGCCCCCATACTATTGTTTAAAACCATTTCTGAACAGTCCTTCTGTAGAAGGACATGCCCGACTTAAGTCTGGAAGGGTTCTGACCCCCTCACTTTATTCGGGGATCTTCTGACCCGGGTCAACCCAGACCCGGGTCAGCAGGAAACCAAAAAACTGCAATGCAGAGAAAAAAAACTGCAACGCAGGTCTTCGCAAACCCGGGTCAGCCAATATGCGCGGCCGCCTCGCGGCCACGAGCGGCTCGCCAACCCGGGTTGGCCAGAGGGGGTCTTTGCAGGATCCTGCAGGATCCGGTGCACTGTCTGACCCCCCCGTCTGCGCTGACCCCCGTCTCAAGGCTCCCGAATTTCGGGAGCGGCCAAGAGGTGGGTGTCCAAGAGGGGGGGTGCAAATCATGACCGGCGGCATGTGCGCGGCCCAGCGGGGGGGCCAGGGACGCCAGGAAATAAGAAGAGGCGCCATGAAGTCTTGGGAAATATCATGGCCCACGCCATGATATCCACCCCCCTAGTCACCACCCCCCTCTTTTCCGCCCCCGAGATCTATGACGAGCCTCGGAGTGCCGGTGCTCGGGCGCCGCGTCCTGCGGAGTGCCTGGGCAGCGGACGTCGCGACGATCCGTGGACGTACGGCGGAGCACGGGGCGGCCTCGGGTCTCCCCCCCCCTCTCGTGTGCGCGCTCCGCAGCGGGGCCCCGGGCATCCTGGGCCCCCCGTCTCGGATGCGGCCAGGAGTGATGGGCCTGTTTTCCACCACCACCACCACAAGTTGGAGGGAGAGGGGGTCTTCTTCCTCCTCCTCCTCCTCCTCCTCCTCCTCCTCGTCCTCCTCGTCCTCCTCCTCATCCTCCTCCTCCTCCTCCTCTTCGTCCTCCTCCTCCTCATCCTTCTCCTTCCCCCCTCCAGCTTCTGGTGGTGGTGGTGGAAAACAGGCCCATCAAACAGGGGGGCGTCCAAGAGGGGTGTGTGCAAAGCATGGCCGGCGGCATGTGCGCGGCCCGGGGGGGGCTGGGGACGTGTTGAAACAAGAATAGGCGCCATGAAATCTGAGGAACTATCATGGCCCACGCCATGATATCCCCCCCCCTTGTCATCACCCCCCTCTTGGCCGCCCCCGACCTTCCATGGGGCGGTGCACTCGCCCGGGGTACGGTCAACCCGTATGATAAGGATGCGCGGTAAGGATGCAAGGGCCTTGGGAGGGTCATGCGAACGTTTTCCGAAAGTGGCCAGCGAAAGTCGCCGAGGATGGGCCGAAGAGGCATGGATGCAAGGGTGACCTTGGAAAGTCGCTCGTCCTTACTGTGTGACCGTAGTTGTTCAGCCTTGCAACAGCCCCAAACCCCGAACGCCCACGTCAAAACAGCAGCGCTGGGATTGAATGCTCAGACAGATCACGCCACCAGAGATCTGGGAGGAGGGCGGAGAGGGAGACAGAAGCCACACCTGGCCGCCTGGCTGGTGGACGGGCAAGGGAGGGGGGGGGGACAGAGCCTGTAAATCCACTTGAGCGACGGCCGCTGGCACTGGTAGTGGCCCTCACGGAGGAAACGACTCTAGACTTAGGCCGGCAATGTCCTCCTGCAGGCGGATGTTGGGCGAAAGCTGAAGAATACTCAAACATGTTTCGAAGATATTCTGAACATAACAACAAAATCGTCCCCAGACTACTTTTTAATACTATTTCCCTACCTAGGCTCTGCCTAGAAAGGTTCTTACTCTCTGGGCTTAAAGGGGCCGGGCAGTGGAAAGCGCCCCGGGCGGTTCACCCAGTATCCGCCCCGCGGTTCCCCCAGTTGCGTCCCCTTAGCTTAGCGTTGCTTATCTCATCTTAGCTTAGCTTATTTCATCCTAGCTTAGCTTATTGCATCTTAGCTTAGCTGAGCCTCATCTTAGCTCACATTCATCTTAGCTTAGCTTACCTTCATCTTAGCTTCGCTGAGCTTTAGCATAGCAGAGCACAGCATAACATAGCGTACTATAGCCTAGCGCAGCACAGCATATCATAGCATAGCCCAGCACAGCACAGCATAGCGCAGCATAGCATAGCATAGCATAGCATAGCATAGCTCAGCACAGCACAGCGAAGCATAGCATAGTTATTCCCTACCTAGACTCTGCCTAGAAGGGTTCTTACTCTCTTGGCTTAAAGGGCCGGGCAGTGGGAACCGGGCCGGGCGGTTCCCCCAGTATCCGCCCCGCGGTTCCCCCAGTTGCGTCCCCTTAGCTTAGCGTTGCTTATCTCATCTTAGCTTAGCGTATTTCATCTTAGCTTAGTGTATCTTCATATTAGCTCAGGTTTATCTTAGCTTAGTTTACCTTCGTCTTAACTTCGCTGAGCTTTAGCATAGCACACACAGCATAGCATAGCATAGCGTAGTATAGCATAGCGCAGCATATCATAGCACAGCCCAGCCCAACATAGCATAGCCAATCATATAATAGCATAGCATAGCATAGCGCATCATAGCATAGCATAGCATAGCACAGCGCAGCATGACATAGCATAGCTTAACATATCATATCATATCATAGCATAGCGCAGCACATCATATCATAGCATAGCATAGCGCAGCATAGCATGGCATAACATATCATAGCAACTAATGCTGCTTTCCTAGGGGCTCCAACTTCTAGGTAGGGTCGCACTGGGGTAATTTTGAATATTCCTCCTGTAGAGGGACACGCCCGACTGACCTCTAGACCAGATGCGGAGGCGCGGGGAGACCGCCCGACGGCAGAAGCGGGGGGGGCGAGAAGCAAGCGTGAGGAGGGGGAAGGAAAGAGGAGGAGGATACGTCAGGTTCGCGTCGTGCCGACTTCGGCGCTGGTGTCTGACACCGCGGGGATCGTTCAACCTCGAACGATCGGCCGTTTCCGACACGTCCAAATCGTTCCACATCGAACGATTCTGGGTCGCCCGCGGCGTTCAAGGTTGAACGCCGCTGGCGGGGTCGCCGCCGGTCGACACGACACGAACCTACCGTAACTTGAAGGAAGGAGCGAGGAGGAAACGTGAGGGAGGGAGATGCGGGCGGAGAAGATGGAGAGACGGGTGTGAGAGGAGCAGGAGGAGGAGGAGGAGGAGGAGGAGGAGGAGGACGACGACGACGACCACGACGACGACGGCGACGACGACGACCGCCGCGACGATCGCGGCTGTGGCGCACTCGACGCGCAGCGGGCCCCGCGCCGCGGGCCCCGCGCCGCGCGCACGCAGGCCCCAGGCGAGCGGCGCAAGGTGCGCAGCGCTCGCCAGCGCTCGCCGGCGCGCGCGCAGAAGGCAGGGGAGATCTATACTTATGTCGGGCGTGTCCCCCTACAGGGGGGATTTTTTCTACGAAAAATTGAAAATACCCAGAAATAATGGAACAATAATCCAAAAATAGTCTGGGGACTATTTTTGGAGCAGTTCTTTTGCAATCTTGGACCATTTTGGGGATATTCTTTATTTTTCGTCGAAAATCCCCCTGTAGGGGGACAAGCCCGACCTAACTATACCCCGACATGGTCTCGCCGAAAGAAATCATGACGGGAAGTGTTTGGCTGTTTTCGGCCTTGGAGGGCCCTCGCCTGAGCAGCCGGTCCCGGGAAGAGGGTCCAAACTTCCGGGGGCGCCGGTCTGAATGAAGCAGGACGTCGCATGCCTTGGTGGATATATGACCCCGGGCCGAGGGTTCACAAGCCCCCCTCGCCTTCCCAGATGAGATGGGGGGCCGACGACGACGACGCCGACGCCGACGCCGACGACGACCAGGGGGGGGGGGGAGGGCAGCCCTGGATCATGTGTCCACCGCCGCTGGCCAGGATGCCCTCAAAGCTCTGACGCTGCAAAACAGCGCAGCATCGCGGAAAAATCACCACGGGAGCCCCAGCCCCAACCTTTCCGCGCCACCTCCCGGGCCCGCTCGATATCGTGAGGGTCCCGGGGCCCGCAGCCGGGCGAACACGCCAGGTGCAACAACAAGTTGCAACGCCCGTGGTGATGTGTACAGCGGGACCTAAGACAGGATGCACAAGAACATCCAACAAGCACGAAGAACATTTGGGTACCCTCCCAGAATCGACCTCGATCTTGTACCTCGGTCCGAATGTACCCGTGCACGCGACGCCCTGCTCTTTCCAATGCGCGGCTCCAGGAAGGCCCGACCCTTTCCCCAGGGCCAGCTCTTCATCCTTTTGCCTCTGACGGTCGAGGGCAGGGGCCCGGCGAGGGCCCCAGGGCCCGAAAACCACGAAACCTCTTCTCGTCGCGATTTCCCCGCGACTCGCAGTTCCTCACGACCAGAATGGCGTCTGGGTATAGACCCCGCCGCCCCGCCAAGGGGCCTCCCAGATGGGACCGGAGCCAATGGGGTCGGAGACAATCGCTCCGCGTCGCCGATGCATCGGCGACGTCGGCGTGGAGATCTCGGGCTCCACATCGAGCCGCATCGCCAATGCATCGGCGATGCCGCACGACTCTCCGATCCCACCTGCTCCGACCCCGTGTGGGAGGCCCAGAATCAGGGCCCAGCCCCCGGCTCGGGCTCGCCAGCCGGCTCGGGCTCGCCGGCCGGCTCCTCGGCCGCCGCCCAGGGCTCCCGCGGAGGCTCGGGGGGCGATGCCAGGACTCCGCCAGGCGCGTGCCCGGCGGCGCGCTGGTCCCTGAAATCCGACGTTGCAAAAAGAAGTGCAACATCGCAAAGCATCACGACCAGAACCCCGAACCCCAACCTTTCTGCGCCATTTTTTCGAGTCGCATAGATGTGTGAGGGTCCTGAAGCCCCTGCAAACGGGTTTTCGTAAACGGGGAGGTAGCGAAGGGTGCGTTTTCAACTGTGCCTTCGAAAAACTGACTTGCCGCGCACAAGTGCGAGGTACCCCCCCCGCCCAGAGTTATGATGATGTATTGACGATTTCGTCGTCCCGATTTATCGCGCACTAGTGCAAGGTAAATGCGCCCTTTCACCCTGTCCTCGCTCGTAGAGGCCCCCTAGCCACCACCCCGCTTACGAACATCCCGTTTGCAAGGGCTTGGGTAAAGGCCTCCTAGGTGGGGTCCGAGTAGATGGGGTCGGAGGATCGCGCGGCGATGCATCCGCGACGTCGGTGGTGCATCGGCGACGTCGGCGTGAGGCAAATCGGGCTCCGCATCGAGTCGCATCGTCGACGTATCGGCGATGCGGCGCGATCCTCCGACCCCGCCCTGCGCCGACCCCGTCTGGGAGGCCCAGACTGCAGAAGCCTGGGGAGGCCCGCAGCCGGGCACAAGCGCCGGATGAGGAACCAGACGCCAACGCCAGGATCTCAGGGGGGGTCGCGCCGCGGCGGCCGCCCACGCAGGCCCGGGACTCCGGGCGTCTTTCTCGGGGGCCCCACGGAGATGGAGGCGGCCGAGTGCAGGGCCCCTCGTCGAGAGGGGGACGAGGCCCAGACCCCCGCGGGTCTTGAGAAAGTTTCGACGGGAAGTTCCCAAGAATGTTCGGCCTCTGGGGGCCCTCGCCGGGCCCCGGGACCGTCAAACACTGACTCGGGATGAAAAGCTGGTCCGGGGGAATCGGTCGAGACCTCTGGGGGTTGGCTATGAAGAAATCATGACGTCGGGGGTCTGGGCTTAGAGACCGGCGCGGCTCGTAGGGTCCCTCTTCGAGATGTGGACGAAAGCCCTGCTGACCAGCACCCGCGCCCATCCCCCCCGGTCACGTCGCGAATCGCGCACGCGCCGTCTGTGAACTAGCCATTCCTAAGCATTCCCAGGCGGTGCCGGCGCGAATGGTGACGTGACCGGCCCTCCCCCCCTTCCCATGTGGGGCTACCAGGAGGGGATGCCGATGCCAGAGGGTGGGGGAGGAGGAGCGAGGACGATGAGGAGAAGGAGAAGGAAAGACGAGGGAGGATCGGACGGGTGGTAAAGAAATAGGTGATAAAGAAATAGGTGATAAAGAAATAGGTGATAAAGAAATAGGGGTTACCTAAATACGTGATAAAGAAATAGGTAAAGAAATAGGGGGTGACCTACAAATAGGTGATAAAAGGAATAGGCCCCGAAAGGGGCCCCTGGAGGGCCCCTTCTGAAGCCAGCAGGAGCCCCAATTAAGGGGCCCCAAATGCTCCCTGCGGGCTCTTTTCGCCCCCCTTGAACGAAGGATTGCAAAAAAAAAACCCAAGGATTGCCAACAAAAACGAAGGATTGCAAAAAAACCTTTTTTTTGCAATCCTTTTTTTTGCAATCCTTTTTTTTTGGGGGCAATCCTTCATTAAGGTCACCTCCCATCACCGCCCATTCGAGATGAGGGGCATGAGGTTGGATACCGGTACCCCCTCCTGGGGGCCCGTGTCCCCCCCCCCCCTCCCCTCCCCCCCTGGGTCACGCCCGTCTTATAACGCCGGGGGAATAGTAGAGCAAGCATCTCCTAGGGCCCCTCGTCGAGAGGTCGAGGGCCCCTGTGCTGGCTTTCGCGGTGCCGCTCTCCCACGGCGTCGGGCGCGAAGGCCACGCCGGCCCCTGGCCACACCGGTCCTGGGCCAGGGGCTGGCGCATCGGAGGCCGCGTGCGGGCGAGGCGAAGCTGCGCGCAGGCAGTGGTGCGTCGGTCGGTCGAAGCAAGCTCGTGCAGCGCAAGAGCAGCCGTGCCCGTGGTGGGTGTGTTGCCCCAGGGTTATGCAATGGATGTGCCGCGTGGTGTCCTGTGGTTGTCCCGTGTGATGCCCAGTGGGTGTCCCGTGGGCTGTCTCCGATGTGTTGCGCCATGGTTATCCAATGGATGTTCCACGTGATGTCCCATGGTTGCCCCGTGGGTTGTCCCGTGGGTGCCCCATGAAATTGTCCCGTGGGGGGTCCCGTGGGCTGTCGCCGAGGGTTGTCCAATGGGTTGTCCAGCGGGTTGTCCCGTTGGCCTTCTCGTAAATTGTCCCGTTGGTTTACCCGTGGGTTGTTCCGTGGGTTGATCCGTGGATTGACCCGTGTGTTGTCCCATGGGTTGTCCCGTGGGTTGTCCGGTGGGTTGTCCCGTGGATTGTCCCGTGGGTTTACCCGTGGATTGTCCCGTGGGTAGTCCCGTGGGTTGTCCCGTGGGTTGTTCCGTGGGCTGTTCCGTGGGCTTTCCCGTGGGCTGTCCCAAGAGTTTGTGGGTCTGCCGTTGGGAGTTCGAACGGTCTTTAACAATCCGATATCAGCCGACGTGGTTCCATACTTGGGGCTGATGCGCTCTCGATGCACGATATGTCTGTGGCATCGCCTGCGTATGGTTCAGCCTGTGTATTGCAATTGATGAGGCGCAATGAACTATGTCATCTGTGCGCTGCACACTCCAATGCGAGAGCACATGTACGTCATCCATACGCTAGCACACTCCGATTCGAAAGAGCATGGACCTCACCCACCCACAACCTGCTAGCAATGCTCACGAGCCTGTGGGTGCAGTCTCACCAGCCCTCTGTACGTAGGCAGAGAAACCAAATTCTTCGATCCTCTTTCAACACCCTTTTCCCTCTAGGGAGGGGTTCCCTTCCCCCCTCCCTGCGGTTTTTGCTGGCCTCCCCGCGAGGTGTCATGGGGTCCATCTTGGCCCAAGACGGCCTCAAACGGGCCTCCGATGCTGCTCCAAAATGGCATGCAAGATGGCTCAAAATAACCGACCATGGTTCAAGCTAGCATTAGGTCGGGCATTTCCCCCTACAGCCCGATTTCGGGCGAAAATTTCAAAAGACTCAAGCATGCACCCCATACTATTGTTGGACTATCTTTGAATATTCCTCCTGTAGAGGGACACGCCGGACTTAAAAGCTAGCTTCCAACATAACTCCAAGAGGCCCGAGAGAGCCGCAGCACAGTTTTCCAAGTGCTCTCGGAGCCCCACAGGGACCCTCCCAAGACGCCCAAATCCTTCAACCTCAAGCGAACATCAGTGACTTGCGCTTTCTCATCTTTTCGCTTATGGTGGGCTTTTGAGGCCTCAAGGTGGCCAGCTGCAATCCAGCTGCCTGTTTTGAGTCCAACATCCTATGCAAGTCCAGCTGCAATCGAAATCCAACGCACATGGCAAATCGGAGTGCACATCTATTAAATGTGATCGAAATCCGAATCGAAACGCAAATGGTACTGCCATCGGCATACGCATCGAAATGCAGATCGGCATGTAACTCCACTTGCTATCGAAATGCGCACACAGGACTGCGGATCGCAACGCACAGCGATATGCGAATAGAAACGCACATCGAACTGTGAACCATCGTGCATGTCCCGAATCGAGCTGCAAGTTCCTCTCCCCTCTCACCTCCATACCGCCCGAAGGATAGCCTGTGAGGCATATGTACTCCTCGCCCAGGCCAGGAGGGCGCGTCGATCGATCCCGGGGCCCTGGACCTGCCCGAGGTCAAGCTCAGTGCCGGCGGAGAGATGGCGCCCCCCGAGGAGGTGAGCCCCAGCCCGTGAGCTGCCTCAGCAGGGAGCCGCCGGTCGCGGAGATGGCATCCTGGTCCTCGAAGATGGGCTCGGTGCTCAACTTGTTGGGGATGAACCACGGCACAAAGACCACCAGGACGAGCGGCAGCAGCGTGGAGACCATAGAGGCAACCCACAAGTTGTCGAACTGGTGCCTCTCCCCGGCGACCCCGGCGGGCTGAATCTGAAGCGACTCGAGCATCCACGCTCCCAAATTGATGGAGGCCGTGTACCCAAGGTTGTGACAGCCGGCGAGGTTAGCGAACATGATCGCCTCCATGCCCCTGGGGCACATGTGGCTGATCAGCACCACGCCAGGCATCCACAGCCACTCCCGCATCGTGTCCTGCAACCCGCTGCTGCCGAGTACGAACACGGTGTCCGGGATGCCTGCCATCTTGTTTATGCGGAGGTAGAAGAACACGTCGAGCACGTTCGCGACACAACCGACCAGATTCCCCACCACATACATCCTCTGATAGCTCCACGTGTGTGAGAACCTTTCGTGTCTTGATGCTGTTTAATCCCACCAGCCCCTTAGGGCGTAGGTGGTTTAGGGTATTTCCTCTTCCACCCCCCATCTTCCCCTTCGGGGAGGGGTTTATCACTGTTCCCTATTAATATACACCCCCTCCCCCAGGCGACTGGGAGTCAACCCGAGTCCATGAGGGCACCCCCCCACCATCCCTTGTAAAAAACACTCTGCCTCCAAATTCGGAGCATGCGCAGCGAACCCGATGCGGCCTCCCCCCACCATCCCTGCCAACAAAAACAATGCAGAGTACACTTGGCGGCGGCGGCGGCGGCTGCGGCGGTGGCGGCGGCGGTGGCGGCGGCGGCGGCAGTGGCGGCGGCGGCGGCGGCGGCGACGGCAGCGGTGGCGGCAGCGGCTGCGGCGGCAGCGGCTGCGGCGGCGGCGATTCGGCAGCGGCGGCGGCGGCGGCGGCGGCGCGGTGGCGGCGGCGGCGGCGGCGGACAGCGGCGGCGGCGGCGCGGCGGCGGCGGCGGCGGGCGGTGGCGGCGGCGGATTGGCCCCCAGTAGCTGCCCATCCAAAGACGACTGCTGAATATGCTGCGGCTCGGGCCAGACTCAGGTGCTACGTATGTGTTGGGACGGCGGGTGGGAGTTAGCGAAACAGCTTGCGGGCGGGGAGGGCGTCTTGACCCCCCCCCTACCCCCTCCCCTGGATCTGGACGGGGAGTTCCGCGAGCGGTCGGGGCGTCCAAAACGGCCTCGGCGAGGAAGCCGCAATCATTAGTTTTACTATGGTTCTGGCCCCATTTTGGCCTCTGGCGGGGGGGCAGCGCTAATTAAGGAACCCCCCTCCTTTGATCGATCTCCTACGAGATGACCCCACGAGCGCTCCCAAGGCTCCCAAGGGTGCCCCAAGAGGGCCCCAAGAGGTGGCTAGGAGGCCCCAAGAGGCCCCCAGGATGCCCCCAAGAGGCTCCCAAGAGACCCCCAAGAGGCCCCCAGAGGCCCCCCAGAGGCACCCACGACGCTCCAATAGACCTCGGTGAGAATGCCAAAATCATTGATTTTACCAAGGTTTTGGCCACAGATTGGCCTCCTGGGGGGGACACTGCGTAAGATGACTCCATGAGCGCCTGGGAGAGCCCAAGATGACCTCCATGATGGCTCAAGATATCCCAAGATGCCTCAAGATGGCTCCCACGATGCTCCAAGAGGCCCCAAGACCGCTCCAAGACGGCTCCAAGTGGCCAAAGAGTTCCCCCAGGAGGCCCCGAAGAGGCCAACATCATTCCACAACCTTAGGACAATCAATGTGTTTGGCTTTCTCGCCTTTTCGCTTCCGATGGCCATCCTAGGCCTCAAGATGGCTCCAAGATGGCCCAAGAGGGCTCCAAGAGCGCTCCTAAGGCTCCCGAGAGCGCGTCAAGAGGGCCTCAAGAGGCGCCCAGGAGGCCCCTGGAGGCCCAAACAGGCGCCCAAGAGGCCTCCAAGAGGCTCCCAAGAGACCCCCAAGAGGCCCCAAGAAGCTCTCCGAGGCACCCAAGACGCTCTAAGAGGCGTCTGGGACCGCCAAGAGGCCCCCAAGACGCTCCGAGAGGCCTCCACTGGGGGACCCTTCCTCTGTGTGTCTCCCACTTCCCTGATCGAGGCAATTCCTCTGAACATCGTTTCTGGATGGGCTGGTGGGTTTCCGCGAAGCGTCGAGAATTTGTTTTTTGCACACAGTGTTTTTTGTTCCACGTGTGTGGGAACCTGTTGTAGAGCCAGATGCCGAGCACTGAGAACGCGTTCCCACAGACAGGCAGAACCATGCTGTAGAACGTCACCGAGAAGTGGGGGCCGTCTGGGTACTCCTTCTCGTCGTCCAGCATGAAGTAGAAACTCGCGCTGCTGAGTGACAACTGCATGGCGGCCTGGAGCAGACCGAAGGCGTTGACCTTGGCGATCACGGGGTTCAGCATCAGGGAGAAGCTCGACACGATGAGGACCAGCACACCGAGCGTCACCAGGCCGTTCTGCCTCACCGTCAGCCACATGCCGGTCAGGGACAGCAGCAGCGTGGAGGCGAGCATGATGAAGGCGAGGACGACGGCCTCGCGCTGCGCCCAGACGGCCGCGCGCTGCGCGCACTCCGCCTCCCGGGACAGGCAGGGCTCGCGCATCCAGTTGAGCAGGGCGGGCCCCATCACGAAGGACGCCGGGATGGCGGCAACGGTGAACATCGCCCAGGGAGTGCAGTACAGCAGCAGCAGCCCCGCTGCACCGGGCAGGGAGGAGGAGGAGGAGGAGGCGGAGGAGGAGGAGGAGGCCGAGGACGAGGGGGAGGAGGGGGCGGAGGAGATTGAAGTGGGGGAGGAGGAGGAGGAGGAGGACGACCACGCAGACGAGGGAGAGTTCAACTATCTGGCCACCTACCCTTCCTGCCCCCCCGCTCTCTTGACCTGGGGGAGGGGCGGTCGCCTCCTGCTGCATGGCTCGCGCTACGAAAGGCACGTAATTACTGAACATAGCCTACAATTTTCTGAGAGTTCTGCTTCGAAGCGATTCCAGCAAAGCGATATTATTCGGAGGGCCGGTTGAAAGAATGAGAAGCGATTCCAGCAAAACGGTCGGCCCCATGGTTTCCCCGAGCATCGGCCCACTCCGAGGATCCCAGGGCCAACGAATCTACATCCTGGTAGGCCTTGGCCTTGGATGCACTGAGTTGGGTGTGCCAGACTATGGCAGCACGGGCAAGAAGGCCTATCCCAGCGTATCCGCTTCGCCGAGGCAGCCCCGTGGAATATAAATATAGGATTCCTTGGTAGTCTTAAGTCGGGCCTGTCCCCCTACAAAGGGGTTTTGGAGGACAAAGAAACAATAGTCAAAAACATTCCCAAATTGTCAAAAAGAACGGAACATAGTTCTCAGACTTTTTTTATTACTATTTTTGAATATTCCTCCAGTAGAGGGACAGGCCCGACTTAATGGTAGTCTGGAGGAGGATGAGGAGGCCGACGAGGAGGAGGAGGAGGAGGAAGTGAGGTAATGAGGCAGGAGGAAAAGGCCGAGGAGGCGGCAGCACCAGCGGCCACCATGCCCATCACGTCCACGCCGCCCCAGACGAACGAGACGAGGGACGGGCCCGATTCTGGGCGCGCACGGAGCTCGCGGGCCAGCACAGCCTCCGAGAGCAGGTCCACGGTGCTGGCGTACAGGGAGCAGAGGAGGGTCGCGTGATAACCGACCCCTGACCAAAGAACACAATGGATCATGCTGGACATATACACGTCGTTCATTTCTAACCGTGCTCATTTCTAATTGTGCTCTTTTCTAATTGTTCGTGGCCCCCCAGTGGCCAGGAAGACGCCCAGGATATAATACAGTAATTCGAAATGAGAGGATCTTGCCCCCCCCAAATTGAAAGAACTTTCGACAACTTATCATGCCGGGCGTATATTTGTAACTCTCTGTCGCGATAGTGTTACTCATGAGTCCCGTCCACATAGCAGAGCGGAGGGGAGGGGGACTGGGAAGGGGCATGCCACTCCTTGCCAAACACCTTGCCTCGATTTGAGGCCGCCGCGATCAACGCGACGACCTCCAAATTCAACCCAGAGGTTTGGTTCGGTGCTGGGTATCACGCAACGAAATGAACAAGAGCGCCACAACGCCCGCCACCGACAGCTCGTGCCGCATTTGGCCAAGGGTGAACATCGAGTACATACCCATCAGAGACGCGAGCATGATGTATGGCATCTTTGAATACCCTCCGATCGGGCACGTGTCCGCGAGAACACCCAGGATTGGCTTCAGCGCCCAGGGGAGCGCAATGACGCCGTCGAACATCGCCATCCTTGGAGCGGGAACCGCGTACTCCCGGAAGACGTACCTTTGGGCTGCGCGGACCATGTCGTTCACGAGGCCCTTGGTGACGTGCTGCGAGCACATGAGGAACACCAAGAACTGCCAGCCGAGCTGCTTCCAGAGGCCGCGGATGCCCGCTGACACGGCCTTCGCATCCTCGCAGCAGGGCCCCCACTATCCACCTGCACCGATCCTGGCGGGGCCCACCGTGGGCCCAGCATTGGTGTTTACCGGCATCCGAGAGCGCGAACAGAAACCCAATGCGCATCAACAATGAAGGGGCCCCAGGACACACAAATAAATACACACAAATAAACAGATTCCCCAACATTTCCTATATTTTCTGGGTTTTCGTCTTCCCCCCCCACTTCCCATAGTTTCCAGTATTTTCCTGGAGCTCTCGACTCCATCTTCATGCACGACTCTTTCGCGCCCGATCGATTCGTGACGGCTCCTCTCGAGCCCGATCGGCTCCTGGTGGCCCTGGGATCCGACGCGCCGCGCGAGAAGGCCCACCGCGAGTCCTCGCGACGACGGGGGGGTCACGGTACAGTGCGGACGCGGCCGCAAGAAACGAGTCGCAAGAAGCCCAGCCCCGAAACCCCGCGCGCGAGATGCACACCAGGCCGAGCCGCGGGGGGGAGCCAAGAGCACCCTTGTTCCAACGCCTGTCCACGACTCGAGCGCCGTCAAGCTTTCCAAGTCGTTTCTGGTGGCATCGTGTGCATGGCGACGGCGGCGAGGGGCGACAGCAAGTCGAGAGAAAGAGATGAGGAAGAACAAGCGGGAGGTCTGGGGAACGCGCGATCCACTGGAAGTCGAGGTCACCGCGCAGCGCGCGGAGCGAAGAAACACCCAGAGTTGGCGGCGCGCACAGGGGGGTAGGGAGAGGGGGGACTGCTTCTTAGAAGGAGGCTGCTTCTTAGAAGGCGCAGGTCCTGCATCTATCGACAAGGTCCGCGCCTTCTGAGGAGCAGCCTCCTTATAAGAGGCCTTCCCCCCTCTCCCATACCCCCCTCTGCGCGTGGCCGACAGGGGCACCCTGGCGAAAAACATGCAATCGAGAATCTGATCAAAAAGACTATGAGTCAAGAAATCTTGGCAAGTTGCCCGGAAGTTTCCTCAAACGAGATTGGGCCAATTCCTGGTGTTAACGCTGGAGGGGCGAACGGGACCAAGAAACTGGGCCCGCTTTACGGCAAGTTGGCTAGGAAGCACTGGCCCAACTTCTCTTGGGACGTCAAAAAGTACCGAGACTGCTACTCCCCAGACCTCTCCCGAGGTGCGGTCTGACAAGGACTTCCCAGCGAATCCACAGGTGGCCACGAGGGCCTCCAGGAGGCCCCAAAAGGGGGACAGCGAGGGAAGGGTAGCGGTATGGGTACCTCTTTCTCGGCCAATTTTCGGGAGGCCTCTTCATCGGATGCTCGACTGTGTAATGTCAGCTTGTGGTTAACAAAAGCATGGGGCTCGTGCGATTCATACAAAACATCCCCGAGCTCGGACAGCATGGACTCGGAGGTTCCCCGAGCTCTCCGAGCCCTGGCGCGCGAGATTCAAGTAGAAAAATGGTTCGCGCCCCTCGAGGCCCATTCATGAGCCCCAGAGGGGGGGCCTCACTTGGCCGATTCTGGAAATCCTGAACCTCTAAAACGATGCCATCTCTTGGGGGCGCATCTTTTACTTCCGCCGCCATCCACCAGCCTTCCGCCGCGGAGGAGTCGACAACTCCTACGATCCTCGAAGGCAAATCCCTCTCTGGAGCGCCCCATTGTTTTGCTTTGTTTTGTTGTTGTAACTTCTTGATACTGCTACTTTTCTGGAGCACCCCATGTGTGAATCGCAAGCTGACGTTAGGTCGGGCGGTCCCTTCTGTAGCCTGACGACGGACCCAACCAAATGCAGCTGCGAGTGCCGCATTGTGTGTACCGCGTTCGGCGGAGCTCCCTATGCGACCACCAAACGTGCGAGGGGTGCGCCGAAACCGGTGGCGCGGACGCATGTCGACACCGCCACTGGGGCCTTCGGTGGAGCTCCCCATGGGGCCACGAAGCGCTGTCCTGGGTGGGGGAAACGCATGCGAACTGCGCCACTGGGACTTTCGTTGGAGCTTCTCATGGGGACACTACGCGCTGTCATGGGTGGGGGAGACGCACGTGGACCCTGTCACTGGAGCTTTCGGTGGAGCTCCCTGAAGGGCTACGAAGCGCTGTCATGGGTGGGGGTGACGCATGCGGACCCTGCCACTGGGGCCTTGGGTGTGGCTCCCCGTGGGGCCACGAACCGTGTGAGGGGTGTGCTTACATGGGTGGCGTTGACGCGTGCGGACCCTGCCACTGGAACCTTCGGTGGAGCTCCCTATGGGGCCACGGAACGCTGTCCTTGGTGGCGTTGACGCATGCGGACCCTGCCACTGGAGCCTTCGGTGGAGCTCTCTATGGGGCCACGAAGCGCTGTCCTGGGTGGCATTGACGCATGCGGACCCTCCTACTGGAGCCGTCTGTGAAGCTCCCTCTGGGGCCACAACATGCTGTCCTGGGTGGCGTTGACGTATGCGGACCCTGCCACTGGAGCCTTCGGTGGAGCGCCCTATGGGGCCACGAAGCGCTGTCCTGGGTGGCGTTGACGCATGCGGACCTTGCCACTGGAGCCTTCGGTGGAGCGCCCTATGGGACTACGAAGCGCTGTCCTGGGTGGCGTTGACGCATGCGGACCATGCCACTGGAGCCTTCGGTGGAGCTCCCTATGGGGCCACGAAGCGCTTTCATGTGTCGGGGGGACGCATGCAAACGGCGACACTGGAGCCTTCGGTGGAGCTCCCTATGGGGCCACGAAGCGCTGTCATGGGTGGCGTTGACGCATGCGGACCCTGCCACTGGAGCTGTCGGTGGAGCTGCCCATGGGGCCACGAAACGCTGTTCTTGGTGGCGTTGACGCGTGCGGACCCTGCCGCTGGAGCGAAGCGCTGCTCTGGGTGGCGTTGACGCATGCGGACCCTGCCACTAGAGCCTTCGGTGGAGCTCCCTATGGGGCCACGAAGCGCTGTCCT